ATTGAAATCCTCCTGAAGGCCGGCTTTGCCATTAAGCAAAAGAAAGTCAAGGGGCCTGCAAGGAAATTCAATTCCTAGGGATAAAATGGCAAGATGAGCGTCGCCACATCCCAATGGAGGTGATAAACAAGATCACAGCCATGGCCCCACCAACCTCTAAAAAGGACACTCAGTCTTTCCTGGGCGCTGTGGGGTTCTGGAAGATGCACATCCCGAACTACAGCCTGATTGTGAGCCCTCTCTACCATGTAACCTGTAAGAAGAACGATTTTGAATGGGGCCCTGAGCAACAACAATCCTTTGAACAGATTAAAGGGGAGATTGCCCAAGCAGTAGCCCTCGGACCAGTCTGGGAAGGGAAGGAGGTTAAGAACATGCTGTACACCGCAGCCAGAAAGAATGGTCCTACCTGGAGCCTCTGGCAGAGAGCACCTGGGGAGAGCCGAGGCCGACCTCTGGGCTTTTGGAGCCGGGGATACAAAGGCTCTGAAGCTAATTACACACCAACTGAGAAGGAGATACTGGCAGCGTACGAAGGAGTTCGGGCTGCCTCAGAACTGGTCGGCACTGAAACACAGCTCCTCCTGGCACCCCGACTGCTGGTGCTGGGGTGGATGTTCAAAGGAAAAGCCTCCTCCACACATCATGCAACCGATGCCACGTGGAGTAAATGGGTTGCGTTGATAACACAACGGGCTCGAATAGGGAACCCCAGCTGCCCAGGGATATTAGAGGTGATCATGAACTGGCCAGAGAGCAAAGATTCCGGGATGTCACCAGAACAGGAGGTGACATGTGCTAAGGAGGCCCCACCATATAACGAGCTGCCGGATGAGGAGAAGCGATATGCCCTGTTCACTGATGGGTCTTGTCGCATTGTGGGAAAACATTGACGATGGAAGGCTGCTGTGTGGAGTCCCACATGACGGGTCACTGAAGCTGCTGAGGGACAGGGTGAATCGAGCCAGTTTGCAGAGATGAAAGCCGTCCAGCTTGCTCTGGATATTGCTGAGTGGGAAAAGTGGCCGAGGCTCTACCTCTACACCCACTCATGGGCAGTGGCGAATACCCTGTGGAAATGGCTGCAGCAATGGAAGAAGAACAACTGGCAATGTAAGGTTAAAACTGTCTGGGCTGCTGAAGTTTTGCAGGACATTTCAGCCTGTGTGGAAAACCTTGCTGTGAAGGTGCGCCATGTGGATGCCCATGTACCCAAGAGTCAGGCCACTGATGAACATCGACACAACCAGCAGGCAGACCAAGCTGCTAAGATCAGAGTGGCTCAGGTGGACTTGGACTGGCAGCGCAAAGGTGAACTGTTCATAGCCCGGTGGGCCCATGAGACCTCGGGCCACCAAGGTAGAAATGCAACATACAGGTGGGCTCGAGATCGACGGGTGGACATTACTATTGACACCATTGCAGAGATCATCCACAGGTGTGAGACCTGTGCTGCAATCAAACATGCCAAGCGGGTGAAGCCCCAACGGAATGGAGAGCGATGGCTGAAATATAGATATGGAGAGGCCTGGCAGATCGACTACATCACACTGCCACAGACCCGCCACAGGAAGCGCCACGTGCTCACAATGGTGGAAGTAACCACTGGATGGCTGGAAATCTACCCAGAGCCCCACACCACCGCCCGGAACACCATCCTGGGCCTTGAAACCCAAGTCCTGTGGCGACACGGCACCCCAGAGAGAATTGAGTCAGACAACGGGACCCATTTCCGAAACAACCTCATAAATGCCTGGGCAGATGAACACGGCATCGAGTGGGTCTACCATATCCTATGTCCTGGGTTGCAGTGTATTCTATTACCAGCCTCATGAGCTGTTGAAATCAGGTGGGGCAGTGTTTCCTTGCCTCCTCCCTCCAGACCATCTTTCTGTTAATGGCCCATCAATGCCATGCAGCATAACTCAGAGATAGCTCCCTCTGGACCATCTCTGTTAATGAGTTTAATCAACATTTGGCCTCATGACCCCTTATCCCATTGTGAGATGCTCCACCCAGAGGGAGGAACCAAGCATTCCATCCCGGATATAATCTGAGATTCTGAATACCAGAGACCCTCCTTTTCCACTGGATTTCCAGAGGACAGGAGCTACATAGCCACCAGTGGACTCTTCTGAGGAAGAGCAGACCTTCTTTCTACAGGATCACTGCTTCAGGGGGACTGCAGCCACCAGACTGCTACCACCACCCTGATTAACAGGGTGTCAGGTTGTATCCTGACTCTGTCAGTTTAACCCAGTGTTATCTGCCTTTATTTTTTTTTCCTCTTTTTATTTCCCTATTAAATTGTTGTTCTGACTTGGTGTCTCCCACTAGTTTGTTTTCAAACTAGTACACCCCTACCACGCACCAGCCTCTGGGAAGATCGAGCACTACAATGGACTGTTAAAAACCACATTGAAAGCACTGGGAGGTGGCACCTTCAAAGACTGGGACATGCATCTAGCAAAGGCCACCTGGCTAGTCAACACAAGAGGATCTGCCAGTTGAGCTAGCCCAGCTCAGTCAAAACCTCCACGTGCTGTAGTTGGGGATAAAGTCCCTGTGGTGCTCATGAGGAATATATTGGGAAAAATGGTCTGGTTTAGTCCTGCGCCAGGCAAAGGTAAAGGCAAACCCATTCACGGGATTGCTTTTGTCCAAGGACCTGGGTGCACCTGGTGGGTGATGCAGGACAACGGAGAGGTCCGATGTGTACCACAGGGGGACTTGATTCTGGGTGAGAACATCCCGTGAATTATGCTGTGACTTTGTTAATTATAGTTTTGTTATTCTTAATTGATTAATGGTATAGAATAAAGGGGTGGATTATGTCCTGGTTCAGCTAGGATAGGGTTAAGTTTCCCCAGCAGAGAGGGGGAAGGGATCTCCAGCCAGGTTATTCATACCCTGCTGGCATCAGGTCCAGGGTGGCAGCGTGGGAAGCTTTTTCCTTTGTGGCTTTGGTGATGGGGAGCACATGAGTGAGCTGTCTGCATCCATTGCAATATTTCTCTGTATGTCTTTTGTCTTGTTTACTGTTATTACTGTTTATTGTTATTATTGCTACTGTTGTTGTTCAGATTGTTATTTATCACACTGTTGTATTAAATCTCTTCTTATTTCAGCCCCAGGGTTTGTGCCTGCTTCCAGCCTGTCTGGTCTGAGAGTGTGAGAGGGACAATGGCAACGTGGTCTCCGGTCCCTGCAGAGCCTAAACCACCACAACATACCACTGTATATCATTATGAATGTCTTCTTACAGAAATTTGCATTAAGGGCTGCCAGGTGTGAGGAAACGACTGCATGATTGCTACGTAGACGCTCAATGACACTGTCCCAGCAACCTGCCAGAAGGGTTATAGGAGGAGAAGTACGCTGAACTACAGTAAGAGACAAGGGAGAACCTGACAGAAGCAGCATCTATGTCATGCCATTATGCCATGCAACAGACACTAGTTTCGGTTGATGCCACCACTGCTGTAGGCATTGCCTAAGTGGGAAGGGATTCCTTCTACAGTAACCACAGAGTCACTTAGAGAAATTGCCGTGGAAACAGATGCTCTCCTTGTCACTTGCAAAATGCCAGAGTTCAGCTTTCAAGAAAAAGAGAAGGCAGTAAAGCAAGTACACAAGTAATGCCAGTGACCTGTCTCTGAGATGGGCCCTTCAGGCTGCCTGCTAAACGGGTCAGTGGCAACACCTCAGGCACAAAAGCTCCACAAGCTGCACATCGATGGGTGTCTGTGCCAGTCAGCAAAGGAAACAAAGAAAGAAAGCAGACCATATTGCTGCATTTAAGTCAGTATGACCCTCCAATTCACAGCCGAAAATCTCAGTCACTCTTTCATTCTGCCAGGTACATTTCTGAAGATAACATGGGTCTGTCTCCAGCCATCCTCCCACAGCTCCCACTGTTGATCTCCCCCTCACTTAACCACTGGCAAACCCTAAATCCTACCTAGAAGATGAGATCTTTAATCTTGGACCAAGTGAAGCATCCTTGAACTGCCTTGAAGTCAGCCTCTGCCTGCCGCAGGTCATCACTGAGGAAGATAAATTAAAAACAAAGGAATAGGATAGCAACTCAATATCACAGAATATCAAGCAATGACTCACCAGAACAGGTAATATGCTAGAACAGCCTTTGTTAAAGAGAGCACAGTTTTCACAGAAGTACTCATTTACATATATAGGTGAGCTAGAAGGCCAAGCCAGCACCAAGATAAGTTTCCTCAGCTTCTCCTTAACTTTGCAAGTTCAGACCTAGGCTGAATCCTAAATCACAACCCATTCCCTGCCTGATCTGAGCTGTAAAACTTAGCTGTATTTATAAAGAGAGGTAACAACAAATTAAGACTAGTTCAGTTAGAAAGAGACTGTACATGGTTAGTGTCACTCTAATATTTTTATTTACTCTGCATCTGTACAGCATGTTTCTGGTATCCACCTTTGATAAGTTGTCAGCATTTGAAGGTTTTATTAAAATTTATACCTTAAAAAAACTGCTGTTTCAAAGTTTGAGCCTTCTGAAAGATGAGACTGAAGCGTGTATATAAAAAATTTAATATCCTACGTTGACAGTGTAAATAAAATTTCTCCTGCATCAATGCTGTTTTGTACTCTGTCACAAATTATTTATGTGAACATAAAATATATATATATATATTTAAATAATATAACTTGGACACATGTTGGATGGCACTGTTTTGGACTCCTTTTCTGAAAACCGTTTCCACAGTTTATTAGGGGGAAAATCTAGCAGTCAAGCAGAAGTCCCCGTGTTCTCCGCGTTCTGTACAAGTTCACAGTGCAGCACGCCGGTTTCCTCCTTAAACTGCAGTTTTGCAGGGGGAAAGAATAATCCCGTGTTTGAGGTATGACACGAAAAAGCGGTTTTCATTTGTCCGAACAAGTTTCGCTCTGAGCGGGGCGCCCCCCCCC